ACTCCATGAGTTCGTCAAGAGCCTCGGCAAGGACTGGGTCACTGCGAAGGTTCCAAAGAAACAAGTCATTATCGGACGGTCTTGTGTTTGTTTGAAGGAGGGGGAACAAAGGCTCGTTATCACTGCCTTCATCAATGACTTTTGCACTACCAGTACCATCCTGAAGCTTCCAGATACCCAGGGGAGCAGCTTGGTCCTGGTAGCCACCACCACCACCAAGGTTTTGGTAGGCAAAGCTTTCAAAACTAGTTTGCAAGTCCAACAAGAGTTGCGTGGAATTGGCCTGCAACATGGGAGCAAAGGAGAATTTGGCTCCCCCACCACAGTGGCCCTCGCCAAATTGTTGCGCCAAGTCTTCAAAGCCAGGTAGAACTACGTAGGGCCAATCAGCAGCGTGTGACTGCTGCTGCGCTGCCATGTTAGCTAGGCTCTTGGCAGCACCTTCGTGACACCGTAAGGATTGCTCTATTGCGGCAAGATAGCGTGAGGATACGGTTTCCCACTGCCGTTCTGCCAGAGCTTGCTCATTGTTTCCAATCATGACCACGCTAAGGCTACCTAGCAGAATGGCAATCCACAGCAGACTGCACCAAAAGACTGACCGTATAAACCACACGGCATTGCTAGTACAAGACTTGCTGCCACTACCAGTACCAGTACTCTGCGCTTCACCAGCTTTTCCGGAACATCTTGCAAAAGACCAAGAAGCCCCCCTGGCACTAGTAGTAGTAGTACGGGTGCTAGTAGGAGATTGGCTGCCGCTGCCCTGACTACTAGTAGTGCTACTTGCGGCAGAACCCCCAGCACTCGCGGACGATCTACCGGCGCGGGAAGCTTCCAAGTTCAGAAGCAGCGCTGCATGGTAGGCGGAAAGACTAGCAGTGGATTCTGTGGTGCCACCAGTGCTCTTGGTGGTGTTGGCCATGGTCAAAGCAAGGTGAGGTGCTTGGCTCCTTGCTTGAAAGGGTCAACAGCTAGCTAGAGCGGTATACTGGCCTAGCTAGTAGATAGAAGCAATGAGTGGGCAACGACCTGCTTGTTCGGAGAAAATTAATTGTGGAACGGTGACCTACTACCCGGACCTATCCGGTCAGAGCGTGACGGGTAATTCGAGGGTGTGACGAACGCGGAGGGGACCTTTCATAATATAGCTCCTTTCATGTCTTTTGTATACTTATATGTGGGGCAGTTGGCACTTCCAGCGCTCTAATCGAGGAGCTACCACAAACTGTACCGGTAGCTTGAGGCGGTTCCTGCCATCATAGATTATAGATGAGTCATTCAATCTATTGGAATTCTTCACGTTGGGCAGTTGAGGTGGAGGTGGAGGCCTGCAAAAAGAATACTCAGAACAGCTGGCTAGCCAGACTCATGATGGATACAGTGTTAAGCCCTTTGGCCACGGAAGTAGTCGTCGCCACTCAAGGGAAAAGTGAAAAATCAACCTTTAAATTAAGTAGTTACATAAGCGTACATGTACAGAGTTCTCTGGTGATCTTCCTGAATCGTGATCTTCCTGAATCCTGCCGCAGTGCGCCTGCTGCATAGCTCATGTAGCTACATGGATGTACCGGTAGTCTACTAGCTAGCTAGTAGTCTACTCAGTCCAGTAGATATTCTATTATTTGAGTATTAGTCTACAGGGCATGCTCATCAGCAGTCAAGCTGGCAGGTGCGGTACCGGCAAGGTAAATGCAGCAAGGCTTGCAACAGATACATGTAGATGGTCCAAATTGGAGTACTGGAGGAAAGAAGCGACATCGCGACATCCCTGTCATATGTTTTGATCTTACTTGTCAGAAAACTTTCGTACTGCAAAGGAACGCATCCGTAAACATTCTCATTTGGATGCAGGCCTTCAGTTTTCAGTCTCCTGGAGAATGAATTAATCTGCATTCACAATTGTAATAGTCTACAGTTTACTATTATAGCTAGCTAGCTTAACGCCAATAGGATGCACGGGTCATATACGGCCCATGCATATATACACGGGCCGTATACGGCCTGTGTATACTTTGTTAAAGCATACCTCTACAATAAGTACACTTTCATGCATTCTAGATAACACCAATCGAAAGAGCGTTAAAAGATGCTTCTGCTGATATATGGGTCATCATAGTCGATCTCCAGCCATTCGGAAGATACGCCCTTTCGAAAACAGTAGGTCGAAAGCGCAACAAAGGAAGGAAACAACCGACCATGGCAGGGGAGGGATCTATGCCTTCTCTATTGGGAGAAGTTTCACTATTAGATGATCATGAGCTTACTAATATAGTTACGGAGACAGTGGACCTGTCGCTATTTGCTATTGGAAGTGCAAGACCTCGAGAAGAGGGCTTAGAAATCGGCCAAGAAAACGACGCAGAAGACTCGCAACAACAACAGAATGACTGCTCACAACAGCCCACACAGACAGTTGCAACTGCAAAGAAGAAGAGAGAGAGGTTTGCATACAAGGGAAAGAGTTTCAAAGGAGGTAGTGATCTCTTCCTAGATGCAACATACAAGGGCTCATTCCAAGAGAGATTCCCAGATGACGATGTTGAACTTGTGGGAACAATTGTCCAGTGCCCGTTCAATGCAAATGGCATGAACTATGGTTTCAAATGGGCAACCCATGGCACAGAAGTTGACAGTAAATGGACCTTGTCGCAGCTGAAAAGTAATCCAGAGGTCAAAGAAAAGCTCAAGACACTCATCTTGGCCTATGAGGCAGAACAGAAGCTGCTGAATGCTACCCAAGAAACCACTCCCGCGGACGAATCAAGCCAAGTTGAAGCCAATTCCACCCCGGCAACAGCCACCAACAACAGCAATGAGAAAGAGAAAGCAAAGGAAGACTCAGGACCAACAGAAGCAGATCGCGCAAGGGCATACGCTGCACTGAAGACAGCATGTGGCAGTGGGAACAACTCAAGCCAAAGCAGTAGGCAAAGTGGGAAAGAACGTAGAAGGAGATCAAGGCGAAAGGACAATGATGATGTTGGTAGTAGTGAATCTGAAACAGATGATGGAGATGAACTCAATGAATTTGAAGATGCTTTCGGCACAAATGGAATGGATGGATTAGATAGTGACGATTCAGGTGATGAGATGGAAAATCAAGCGACCGACAGCACCACAATCTCTGATCAGGAATCCTTCGGAAAAATTGTGCAGAGGCTTATCTGGAAATTCGAAGACATCCAACCTGGAACTGTTCCGTTCGAGGAAAGCAAGCCCCTGTTGCAGGGAACAGATGCCAAAACAACACTTAGAGCTGGTGTCAGCAAACGCTGGACATCCCCATTCGAATGCTTCCAACACCTGGGCTGTGACCGTGAGTTCGTTGCCCTGCTGGCACAGCATTCAAACGACTATGCCAAGAAAAGTATCTTCACGAACAGTGGCAACAACAAGAGACTTCACGGGGCTATTTGGAAGGATATAAGTACAAAGGAGATGCATATCTTTCTCGGCATCATGCTGAAGATATCACTTATGCCAATTGATATGGGTGGCTATCCAGCTTATTTCCGAGACAATGATGTGGCAATCAACTACAACAAGAAGGAACAACCAAGACAAATAAAGAACACGAAGGGATGGGCCTATCAGTACATGTCGCTTATAAGGTTCAAGCAAATCAGAAGCGCTTTTCATCCTGAATGCAAGTCGATGGCGGGAGAAGGAGGTGACAAATGCTACCAACTTCGCCGCTGTATCAACACCGTCAACAGAGCTTCTAAGTCCACATTCGATGCTGGTTGCTGGTGTTCCTTCGATGAGGGTGGAGTGGCTTGTCGTTCTCGATTTTGTCCTTGCAGACAATACAACAAAGACAAACCAGATAAGTTTCGTGTCGACTTCTTCATTTTGGCATGTTCCACCACGTACGCGATTCTTCATTTGGATGTTTATCAAGGAAGGAATGCAGCCAATATTGGAATCCATGAATCGATCCTAGATCTTCCAACCACTCAGAAAGCAACAATGAACGCAGTGATGTCAGCCTTCGGTACTGAACCCAGGGGAGCTAGACACCTTGCACTGGACAATCGGTACCAGTGTCCAGAACTAGCTGTACTGTTACTCACTAAGTGCAATATCTATTCAACTGGAACTTGCCGTAGGAGAAGGATTGGTTGGGATCGGAAAGTCATGGATCTGGAAAAGAAAGATGGCCGTGGTATGTACAAGTTAGCGGTGGACAAACAGAATCGGTTGCTTGAGATGCAGTGGGTTGACAACAAGGTTGTTTCGATGGTCACAAGTCGCAATGACACCACAATCGGAAAGGTAAAACGGCAAGTGGGATCGATAAAGAAAACTCTGGATTGTCCTAACGCGATCAGGGGGTATCAAGCAACAATGTTTGGCATTGACAAAGGCGACCAAATCAGAGCACATTTTGGTGGCTTCTCGACGAAATCTCACTTCAAGAAATGGTACAAGAAGATCTTTCTTGCCCTTCTTGATTGCATGTTGTTGAACGGTCTTGTTGCATGGAACCTATCAGCTGAAGAAGACAAGTTCAAAATCCGTACCAAACTGATTCGGCATGAGTTTATGATGATTGTCGCAGAGTCCTTACTCGAATACGACGAACCTGAGCCCAAAGAAGTGAACGAAACTGATGGCAAAAAGAATCCCATGTCACATCACCGACCAATGGAAATCCCCAAAGGCAGCGGAAGGCCTAAGTGCATTGTTTGCAGGCTCGAGTGTGGGAATTTCTTTGGCAAGACCATTGGTGAAGCTGGCATCAGAAGGAATGTCAGCACTTGCTCTATTTGCAAAGTTCCCGCTCACAACTGTGTACCTGCCTCATCGGACAGAGAGATCCACAACTTGCCACAGTTCAAGGGGAAAACTTGCTTTGAAATCGCCCATTCTCCTGATGGGCTCAGCTTGTGGCCAATCAGGGCAAATTTAAATCACAAGCACGGCCCAAGATCCAGCTGTCGTTCATGCCCAGCATGGCAAATGCTACGGGAGAGACATGGGCTTCCCCCTAAGGAAACACGCAAGCGCAAAATAGTACACGAAGAGGATGATGCTAGCAGCAAAGACGAAGAAGAAAACAGCGGCAGCAACGGCAACAACAATCACAAGGAACAAGCGTTGGCTTCCAGTGACGACGAAGACATTTATTCGTAATTCTATAGAAAGATAATCGCCAACTTCGGTAGTGATCACATCTACTAGATATTGTCCTACTTATTGGCGATGATCACTTAGTCCGTTGACCAGCTTCTGCCAGGTAGCACGCACCTCGCAACTTCTACTCACTCCAATGTCAACAATCAGTTTTCTTTGTACCACATGTACTCGTCATCTTTGGCAGCATTGCGAGGCCATGTATCTTTGATCTCGCCTTCAACGCAGACAGGGAGAGGGCGGCGTTTCCCAGCACCAAGTCGACCAAAGATCATTCGAGCAGCTTCTTTGTAAAGTGCCTTCCTGATAACTTTGTTCTCGAAACCTTCATCCTTCATCATATCTCCTGTCATCATCAAACTGCCTCCAACTAGATCTTGGATCATGTAGCATGGATATTGCTCACAGTAGCGGCAAGGGGCGATAGCCGGCAATTCTTCCTTCTTGACCTCTTTGTAATTCAGGGCAACAGGGCGATGTGGAGAGTTGGTTGGACGTTCCCCAAATCCAGCATCACCACGATACAATGGGGTATCAGATCCATCGCGGAATTCAGGAGTGCCACGAGGATATTGGGGAAATCCAGAAGGAACGAGGTCAGTAACAGTGACAACTTTGAAGCCGTAGTCAGATGGTGTCAATGGCTTTGGCTTCTTACCAGCAGCTGGTTTCGGGGCTGGTTTCGGGGCTGGTTTCTTGGCTCCCTTCTTGGCTGGTTCCTCCTTGCCAAACTCATACTCTTCGTCACTCTCGACATCACTCTGAACTGCGTGCTTTTGCGAAAGGGGAGGAGCGTCCTTCATTTCTTTTCCATGATTCTCGATGATCTTCAGGTCATGTTCCCACTCCTCAAATGCATGAGCAGCGGCCCAGTCAAAGGTTTCAGGCTTGAGGCGAGAGGACATGGTTGCAGATAATGGACAATAAACATTCTGCCTCAGCAGCATTGATTGTCCTTGCAATAGAAACAGAAAGCACTGGCCATCTTCGATGGATGCTTCATTGGATTTGACAACGGCAAAGAGGATCATTTTGGCGGCCATTGTTATAGCTTACTTGAGGGCCATGTAAGGTCCGATGACCTACGCCTATTTCGTAGGATGGGTCATATGGCCCATGAGTAAATTTACGCAAGGGTCAAAAATGAGCCTCCCTTAGCCTTAACAGGCCCCGCCCTCAATTGGCGTTAAAAAACCTCTGCATTTTAAAATAATACTCTACTCTTCGCCCCAATTCTTGGGACGATTTTTTAAAAAAAATACTTTGGCTTTTTTTTAAAAATACCCGCCATCGCTTTGTACTATCATGCTAGCTAGATACTAGAGTAGAGTAGTTATGTATTAGTAGTGCTCAGTATAGTATTTAACTGGTACACCCAAAGCTACAGAAGCGACCATGATGACCATCGTTCCGGCTAGCATGGACTTGTTACATTCTTCTTTGCTGTGTACGGTACGGGCCTCGGGCACCTCATCAGCCGGTAGCATCGGCTGCATCCATGTTGAATTGTTCAGCTATTGTTGTGAGATTCTGGCTAGCTCCCACTATTGCAGTACTGTACCCTTTTAATCTGCCGACCCCCGTCTACGTTGTCATTAAAATGAGCTTGCTGCAAGCGAGGGAAGCCTCGATCCTGGCAGGGGTGTACATTGTTCGTACTCGTCACAGGACCTGCCCAAGTGGCGTTTGCTTGGCCGTACGGTAGTTTAGCTACACATCATGTTATGTATGAGAGCAGTCGGCCCCAGCCTGGTTCGCTACCTTTACTGAGAGATTCTGCTCGGAGACGATCGCTTCCAGCCCATATCTTTGTTGCCCTTGTGTTTCGGACAGGGTGCATGCCAGCGCGGCGGCTGCTGGCTGGCTGGCTGCCAGAACTTTGCCTCTTTGATGATCGAGTTGCCTCTGGTTGGTATGGACCCTGAAGCTTGGAGAAAAGATTTTGACACCAAGCGAAGTCAGCCATTTTTGCCTGCGGCCACCACGAGGACTGAACTAGCCTGGTTTCATCAACTTGGAGAAGAAAGCAAGAGCATCAATGAACTGTTCTGAGCCAGCCACATATCAGGACACGAGCGAGACGTACACACTCCCTCCTCTTTGCCTCTCCCATCGTACGGTGGAGATCCCCTTCTTTGTGTGCTTGCACCCTCAGCACGATTTAGACTCGATCAATAGAAGTTCCAGGATGGTGCAGCTGTAAAGATACACTCCTGGCTGCTTTCAAACCACTCAGGTCCTTCACCTTGAAGCAAACTCGCAACGTTGCAAAAGGATCCACGAGTTGATTTGGTTCCAAAAAGTTCCTTCCGCACGGACCAAGCAAGACGGTTTTGCAGTCATCAGGTAAGAAGATCAATGAGGAACCGGAATGAGATGCTCCAAGAGCTTCGTGTGACACTGGCATTCAATACATCCTTTAAGTACCGGTACCGGTACAATAGTAGCATAACCTCTGTGTAAGTCGTGCAGTCGCACATCACGCACCTTACTTACTTGAGCAAGGCTCAAAGCAACTTCGCCGCCGGCTACCTGGACATCCCCGCCCACAACGTTGCCCACAACCTGTCACATAAAAAGCAATCGAGGCAAACAATCACTCAAGCTGTTCGACCAACAACCCAACAACTGACACTCATTACTCTTACCAAGATAGTTTGACAGCAACAAACCAAGAACCATGCCTCTCACAACAGTTGTAGGAAGGTGAGCAGCTGAGGATGTTTTCCCCGTTATCTACCGTACAGTACTGTTGACACTTTACCAATCTCAATCATTCTGTCTTCATTCCACTAATTGCCCCCACCCTCTCCAGCTCTGGATCCGGAAAAACCACATTTTTGAACGATGTGCACAAGTCTCACAAGTGTACTTATATTCGTAAGGTTACCATTCGTGTTCCTGATCTGCCGCCATTGCGTTGTGAAGACTCATGTTTCTTCTTCCCTTTCAATCGATCGATCAACTCCAACAAAGGCCAATACCATGCTGTCCGGCCCTATGTGACAGTCACCAAAGTCCCCAACTTTGATCCTACCAGACTCCCTTATTGGGACATCTACGTCAATGAAGGCACCGCGGATAAGATCAAGGTGGGAGGAACCATGGCAGGAGAATTCACTGCGGGTCTCAGTGGTGGTCAACGCAAGCTGTTTCTTTTCGAACTGATCTACCAGCGTACCCTGAAGCAATCCAAGCTTTTGATTGTACTGGACGAACCATTTGCGGTAAGACACGACTCTGGCGTATACCGACTCTGTGGCTTGGCTGCCACCACGACATTTCTTGTAACTGACTGATTGCTTGATTTTTGCAAAATTTTCTTCTTCGTCGTCGTATTCCTGTCTACTAGGGCGTCACTGGTAAGCCAAGGGTCGCCGAAAACACTCTCTGCCTAAAAGCTTTTGGTTGGAAAACTCACCTCACTGTGCTGTTGTTGTTTTCAGATGACTTTGTCCCATTCATTGTTGGCCGCTTGAATTTGATGGCACAAAGGCACAACATCCTGCTTGTGACGAATGATCACGTCGAGACCTTGACCAACATGGCTAACAACGTCAGTAAGTTTGCACTTTGCGGGTCATGAACGCATTGGAACTATAGAACTCGTTTCTCAGGCTTTTTCATTTTCAATTTGTTTCGCTTGTAGTCACCGTCTCTGCCGTCGATAGGAAGGTGGTCAAGATCAACGACCATAAAACAGTGGACCGTGAGAAGGCAATTGCCGCATTGAGTGTCGGAGACGAGTATGTGTACGAAAGCTCCAGTGCCGACCTCAAGTTCTTCATTGATGTCGAGTTGGTCAACAATGGTGGCGTTATCGGTGTGGTGGGCTTCGCCGCCTTTTCGTTCGTCCTCTTCCTGTTGTCATTCTGGGACTCTGCTGATGAAAGCGCAGCCCTTGTCTTGATTGCTGGTGGAATTATTTCGTACTTTGCCATCAATCCTTACCTCTTGAGTCTGGTGGATTGGAGGAACTTTATGACAGAAGAAGCCGAAGCATTGTTGCATTCAAGCAAGAGCATGAACAAGTTATTGAAGACAAGCTTGACCATGTTTCTCATCTTTATGATTGCCGTTGCAGAATACGGCTTTGTCAATGCTGTCATCGGTGGGTTGGACGACGTCAACTTCCTTATCGCCATTCTGTTTGATTCAGGATCAATGACCTTCCCCTTCCTGTGCTTTGGTCTGTACACAAGTCTCCCACACCAAGCTGTTGAAACCCTTTCAAGTATGCCCTTCCTCTTCATGATCTTCTTTTCCACGACTTTCTCTCCTGGCTCTGGCGTCCCGGGTTTGAAGGAACTCCGCTATTTGTTCAGCCGCTTCTACTTCTGGTGCATTGTTCCAGGCGTCAAGGATCTCATGGAAGGCTGCCCAGCTGATGAAGGCTTGAACATGTTGTATTTGATGCTGAGTGGTCTTTTGGGTGTCTTCCTCTTCTTGGTGGTCATGGGAATCGTTACAGTGGTCCGCAATGCAAGAAAAGCCAAGTTATATGAGAAGCGGGCTGCTTTGATGGATGATGATGAGTTCATTGAATTGCAGGTTGAAATGTACGGAGAGAAGCAGCTCCGTCGTTTGCAACATTTGGACAGCAGCAACTCCCTGGCTCAATCTGTTCCGGCTGAGGACAGGAAATCATTTGAGACAACAAAAACCAAGAGCGAGGACGTCTCCTCCTCTGATGATGATATTGGCTTGGACATCGAAGTTTAAGCTGTCCATTTGTCTTCATCATGAATGAATCAATCAGCACACTGCATGTTTAATAATCAATCCGGCAGCTCCGAAATCCAAGTAAGTGTACAACATAATGAACCAACCAACGGGACCGCTTGCAAGAGCTTTTGCAAGATGTTCATACATACATTCAGGACTCATGTACGAGCGCACGCTATCTATAACGTCAAAAGTAATCAGTTAACTCCAGTCCACAACCAGAAGGAACATTAGCATTTGTAGTTTGACTTCTTGAAGCCAGTACTACCCTGTCTACATCTGCCGCTTTAGCAGTTACTACCAGGTCGTACCCACAGCAGTTACTACGTACCCGCTCACTTCACCATGAAGGTCAGAACAAATCAACTATACTAGTAGTACCTGCTCACCTCACACCGAAGGTCAGAAGATATAAATCAAGTGAGCAGCACTTATAAAATTCTGTTCCAATAGGTTCAAAACTGGCCCAGCTAATTATTTTATCTATCTTAGCTAGTTGAGACTACTGTTGAGAGATCCCTCTCGACGAAGCTGTGGGTTCGCTGGTTTTTGTCTGTTCGGTGTATCGGACTCTTCCTTCATGGCTGGCCATCTGGAGAAATCGTATTCGCCCATGGATTCCAACGTGGTGATGATATCCCAAAAGTTTTGGATGGTCAGCAGATTGTGAGGTCCTTGTCCCAAGGTTTCGACGGGTGGAGTATGGCTTGTAGTCGTCGTCGATGATGACGTCTTTTCCCGTTCAAACTTGGACAACAAAAAGTCCGTTGACGTCACCACCTCGCCATTGATCATGACTCTCATAATGTGTCTGGGTGCCTTATCATGACTGTGTTCTTCTTCGTCTTCTTCACTTGCATCCAATTGCACCAACTCCAAGACGAGCGTACTCGCATACTCTGGCCAGTATTCTCTCCACACGGCACTCTCTTCATCGGCCAAAAAATCGGCACCCAGAGCATACAATAACGCCAGCAAAGTGACATCGTGACAACTGTACAAACACAAGAATTTTTCCTTGGGATCTTGCAACGCCCTTCGTCGTTTTGAGTGTGATGCTGGTGCTGGCGCCACCAAATGTGCTAATTGTTGTGCAATTTCCCGCAAGGGCGGTGCCGCAATAGCCGCCAGCAATTGCGGATTTTGATACCACTGTCGAAACCTCCATGCCAAGTGCCCCAACGCCTTGTATGTCATGGCACTCAACAATTGTTCGACATTGGCATCGTGTTCTTGATCACTGAATTTGCTCAACGACACAGAATGGGACGTCCGACAAACGAAATGATCGGCGGCTTCGACCCAATTAATGCCCGACGGAGTTGACGCACTAAAATCTTTGCGTCCTTTGCGTGCCAGCCCCGGCAAAATATTGGCCAATCGGGCCGCAGCCGGTGCGGCGGCAGCATCTTGTACTTGAAAGGATTTGGATTGCATGACATCGCTAACGAGATCTCGCATGAGATCGGGATTGCGATCAAATGCATTCAAATTGTCGCAGGATTGATCTCGCACTCGGACAAAGACTTTGGGTTTGTTGTTGTGTCTCGGAAGTGTTCTTCGATGCGGATTGCCACTCAAGTGCAAATGGAATCCATTGTTACGATCCCTGTAGGACGGTTCCCAGTCACTGCCGTATCCTTCATCTTCATTGTCGTGGTGGTTGTAATCGTCATTGTCATCGTCCGAGTCATCCGAGTCATCGCCAGGAGTGGTTTTGATGAAATTGTGATCGGGCACGGGCCACTCTTGCGGTCTCATGCTGGTAAAATCCATATCCTCGCGGGTCCGATCGGGTGTGTAGAGCTGTGTGTGCAAGAGTCCATCGAGAAAGGATTGCACCGACAAGACGGTGCGCAGATAGTTGGTGGAATAGGCCGAGATTCTCCATTGTTTCAAGAATTGGGCGTCTCGTTGTTTACTATTGTCATTGTCATCTTGTTCTGACTGTAAAAACTGTGGATCGTATCGATTCCGCAATTGTCTTCCATTTTCCTGCATTTGCAGCAATCCCTTGTGCGTGACGAATCCGTAGGGGTTGCGATGCACGTCCATAAAGTGACCGGTAGGATCGTCAATGAGTGGTGGAAAGGAACCACAGAATTCTTTATAGGCATACGCTGTACTAGGCCAGGGCAATTTGGTCAACCAAAAATGAGATTCTTCGTCTTGTCGATGCGACGGACACAACGGACGACTCGGGGTCCGATCTCCATGACGACAAAAGATCCAAGCGCCCAGTACTTTGCCGATATTCTTGGACGAGGAATCGTCGGAATCGTCATTGCTGGTGGTGCTGCTGTAATATTGAAGGAGAGGTCGGCTTAAGCCAACCCGGTTCCAACCAAGGGGTCGTCGTCGTTGTTGTTGTCGGAGCACAAGCGTCGGTCGCGTTGCCACTGTCATTCTCTTGTATTCTATCAGCAACTAGCTAGTATCAGGTTGTATGTATGTTTGGTTGTTTGGTAATCTGAAAAGCTCCTCTCAACGGACAATGGTGAGAATCAAGAGGCCTCCAATAGCCCTCTCGTACGTTCCTTGGATTTGAAACTGCACCAACCAGCCACACCTTCTCCAACAAGATACTTCTAGCTAGCTAGCCAGCTCGATTGGAAACGAATTGAGTTATTGTGATGTAATTGCCTTATTTTGCAGCGATGGGTGAAGAGGAGACCAAGAAGAAAGACTTGTGTGATCAAGCAAAGATATTACATGTACAGTGTGAACTGCCATGAGATAATTGGTTGTGATGATGTTGGCCTGCTGCTAGCTACATGTAGCCCTGTGTCTGTCTTCTCTTCCGAGAAACGGAGGAAGCCCAAAAGATCCTCCACAAACTCCAACGCTAATGAAGATCGCATTCCAAACTTCCAAACTTGCTTCTGAAGCGTTCCGAGAAGACCCCCCAAAGACGTGCCATTCGAGTCGAGTCAGACGGAGCATACGCTGTATTGGACACATCCATCAACACAACAACAGGGACAGCCAAAGTATCCGTGCCTACCGTACAGTAATAATGAAGCGCGGACAACACAAACCAAAACCTACCACGGTGGCACCGCTACAGGTGGTCCAAGCGCTCCAATCCAAGCAAACCACATTGGAGTCGCTCCAAGAACGCTTGGGGATCCAGGCGGTCCATCATCCCACGCTGCCCCTTGTCATTCTCAATTACCATCAGATTGCTTCGCCCAAAACGCATCCCATGGTGCGAGAATGTCGATCCCTTTGTTTGGAAAAAACTACTTGGAAGCTGGTAGCACGATCGTTTCATCGCTTTTTCAATTGGGGAGAAGTGCGAGAGGAACAAGACGACTTTAACTTTGACAACTTTCGGGTCGATTCCAAAGAAGATGGGTCGATCATTACCATTTACCATTACAATGGAGGTTGGCATGCCAATACACGGCAGTCTTTTGGGTTGAGGCCAGCCGCTGCTGTCAGACAACAACAACAAGCAGTATCATACACTTGGAGACAATTGGTCTGCCAGGCATTGGGCATCCACGATCTGGATGACCTCGACTCCATCCTGACACCCGGGTACTCGTATGTCTGCGAGCTGACATCGCCCTACAACAAAGTAGTCCGCTCCTATCCAGACACGTGCTTGTTCCTCTTGGCGGTCTTTGATGCACGGGGGGTCGAACAGAGTCCACTGTCCGCGGACCGGGTGGCCGCATCCATGGGTGCCAAGCGTCCCATCACCTACTCCTTTTCGTCCTTGGCTTCAATCCAATCCTTTCTCGACACCCAACGAACGGCAGATCCGACTTTTGAAGGCGTTGTCATTTGCGACAATGCCCATCGTCGATGGAAAATCAAGAATCCTAGCTTTCTCCTGCTTCATAAACGAATTGGTGACGTGTCCAGCTCCGTCACCAGTCCGCAGTTTCTCTTGCCGTTTGTGCTCAAAGGAGAGCGCAGCGAGCTTCTCACGTACTATCCCGAAACACAAGAGGTCTTTGACAAGACGGACAAGGCGGTGCAGAGGGAATTGGATGCCTTGCTGCAACTGTGGGAACAATGTAGAGGACTAGAAGGGCAACGGGATTTTGCGCAAGCCGTGTTGGGCCAAGCCAGTAACAAAAGCATGTCATCCATCCTCTTCCGGGTCCGCAAGGACAAGGGTGGGGCTCAGGATGTGGAGCAGATCTTTCGGAGTGAGGAGCAGCTCGTATTGGGAGCGTTCTTTCTTGCAGCTTTATAACTGCATTAATACTGACAGCAACATCAGCATACACTGTCGCCCCTCCCAGGGCACAGGTTAGCTTATTAGAAGATTTAAACAGTTAGCGTTGCCACTCCGCATTTTCTCTTGCCGTTTGTGCTCAAAGGAGAGCGCAGCGAGCTTCTCACGTACTATCCAGAAACACGAGAGGTCTTTGACGAGGTGGACGAGGTGGTGCGGACGCCTTCTTGCTGCAACTGTGGTGTAGAGGACTAGAAGAGCAACGGGATTTTGCGCGAGCCGTGTTGGGCCAAGCCAGCAGCAAAAGCGTGGCCTCCATCCTCGTTCGGGTCCGCAAGGACAAGGGTGGGGCTCGGGATGTGGAGCGGATCTTTCGGAGTGAGGAGCAGCTCGTATTGGGAGCGTTCTTTCTTGCAGCCTTGTAACTGCACTAATACTGACAGCAACACTTCTGCAAGGACACAAAATTGAATTGAATCACCATACACTGTCGCCCCTCCCAGGGCACAGGTTAGCTTTTTAGAAGATTTAAACAGTTAGCGACTACAGCTGTACTAGCTAGTAGTATAAGCAATGGCATGAATAATACCTGTACCGGTACCCCTAGCCTTCACCCAGATACCCAGATTGATTGCTGGTTGGTGATGGCTGACAGCGAACAGCCACTCGCAACCCAACCACTGGATTTGACACTTGAGTTTTCATTCTATGCTTGTACTATACTCCTTTTCACTGGCTTTTGTGCTGAAAATGATTAAACAGTGGTATTCCGTTCAAACGTGATAGTACAACTGGACAGGGACTCACTGGGACTTCCACTCAGGAGTCGTGCTTCTAACCAGAATCCAGTGGTTGGATGGATCCAGTTGTTGAGTGGCGAGTAGCTTGATGTGCAACAGCTGCCTCTGGTGGCTTTTTGCGGGAATGATATCGTGACCAGCACCAGCAACGGATCATACCAATTACCAAGCTGTGCGATGAATGATCTCATTTCTCATTGGATCCGTGAACACGTGCCTCGCAGATAACAGACTCTGCTCTGGCGTCGTCGGACTACGAGTATGGGTACTTTTGAGTACCAGTGTGCCAGGATTCTCGGGTTCCTCGCCAAGGTGGTTGTTGCTTCTCGATTTCGTCAAGGTCCGTCCAAGGTGGTTGTTGCTTCTTCATGTGTCAGAGCACATTGTGGTGTCCATCTGTCCATACAGTTTCCCTTGATACTTGACTCGTCGCTTACGCCTATGCTGTCAGAGACTGGCAGCTGGCGTAAGCGTTTTCTGACAAGCTTTCTGTCTTTTTGGGTGACGGTGGCTCTCTTTTTACAGAGACTCTGGAGTACTTGCTTCTGACGTGTTATTGCAGTTAAAGGTACCTTTCCCTTCAAATTTGACGTACGGGGCAATGGTAGCTGAAAGAACTTCGGAAGCAGATGACAAAGAAGGATCGTGTCAACCGTCAGCACAAAGACCTGCAAACTGCAACACTTGAAAAAAGGGGCCAGCAAAAGAAGCAAACAAGGGGGGAACACAATCTATGTTGGTGGGCTGGTGGGCACCATCACCACAGCTTTTGTTGATGGAGGCAGGAGATCCATCTTGGTACCGTACAGCCCTAGACGCAACATGAAGCCAAAATAACAGCTAATCTATGGCCACCAATCCAGGAAATTCGACGGGGCAGAGATTTTCTAGTTTTGGTTTGACTGATTGACAAGTATGGCTCTGTCGGGCTTATTGGTATTGGTAGGACACCAATAATGACACTGGAGACCTGGAGCTCTTCAGGTGCAATCTCACTTGGTCGATTTGTGCAGGAGATTCGATTCATCTTGGTATGGTTGGTTTATCCAGTATGCAAGCCAAAATACAGTTAATCTAAGGCCCCAATTCATGAAATACAATTGTTTTCTTTTTCGTTTGACTATGACATACACAGTGTATGACATAGTATCTAGTATATGACAAGACTTGCTTGCCAAATGGCTCTTGTTGGGCTTGTGCAATCAGGAGTCCAATAGCAACAGTGCAGGCATCTACCTGCCCAACATTCCCATCCAACATCAGTCCCGTTTTGGTATAGACTAGTAGCGGTACACACTATCCCTTCTTCTCTGCATCCCTCTTTTCCGGCGAGAATTCTAGTGCCACGTCAGAGGGGTTAAGGTTAAATTTCTGACTCAGATTAGCTCGAAAGCTCTCGATTGAAGGATCAAGGCAATTGGATCTTCTCATATCGACGGCTTGCTTAGGATTCTGTGCTGTGGGCGCTGTCCATCCAGTCCACTGTACCAAATTGTGTAGGAATCTCGCCAGCACTGTTGCCTGAGCAGAGGTAATTGCCAGCTTCCATCAATTATGGGCTTGTGCACAGCTTGACATGTGGTTGTAGCCCTTATCCAGAAACCGCCTCCCAGCTTCGGGGTATCAGACAAATGAATTCCTTCATACTATTTGATGGCTCTCGCTTGCAGTCTTTGTCCTTTGTCTTGATTTGCTTCCAAAGCTCCAAAGCGCAACAATTGTAATATCTTTGTCAACCTACTAGCCAGCTATCTAGATAAACAAACCAAGGAGAGCAGAGAGATATTAGTAGCTGCTGCCGTAGGTGGCCAGAGACACACTAGCTAGCTAGTGTTTTCGCCATCTGATCATGGATTTGTCCTCCGAGGACAAGACCAGGAAAAGACGTGCGGCGGGAGACGATGAAACTGACGGTGTCCTCGACGAATCCGGAACCGGTACTCCAAGCGGTGCAGCAGCACCAACAAGGTCACGGCCATTGACCTTTCGGCCCGCAATAGATGATCCTGTTCAGCTTACGAATTTCCTCAAAGGAGTGCACCAAAAATACCTATTTCAGAGGGGAAGTATCTTGGAGCGGTTATCGGCACAGTCACAAGGCGGTGAGACGGCGCTGAATGCATCGGCTGTGCTGCCTCTGCGACCGCCAACAGCGGCGGTTGCATCAGCGAAAGGTGACATGTCGATGGAAGCGTCCCTACCGGTATCAAACAGGGAGGAAGCGGAATTCCCCCCTACAACTGCGCGGCGCCGCAGACAGAGGGCAGGTAACAATGCCAGTCTGCTTCGGGCCAAGAGCATTGACTTTCATGCTCCTGATCCCGAGCAGGAAGCTCCCCCCAATGAAACCGAGGAAGAACGACGAAGGCGCAAAGAGCGCATCAATGGAAGGCGAAAGCGGGCGAAGAAGATGATTGAGATTGATTTCCTAAACGAGCAATACCACAAGCTGAAGGGCGCCAACGACAAGTTGAAATCAGAGAACGAAGCTTTCCGAGAGAGGATTGCCATGCTCAAGAACCTTCAAGATTCTGGCCTAATCAAGGCAAAACCGGTTCCAGCTTCGAACAAAGCTGTTGTAACTGAGGGCTTGCTTCAGCAAGGGGATAAAGATGAAGACGAAAGGAAACCGGCTGCGATACCTCAGCAGCGCACCCCGGCCCCACTCTTCCAGTACGCTTTGCCTCCTGCTGCGATGTCTCTACGGGCAGCAAGAGATGTTGCACTAAACCGTCCGCAGGAGGAATCCAAAGAAGCGTTTGCGCAACCTCAGTTTGTGGGACAAGAGCGCTTGGACGTGGTAGGACTCGCAGGAGCATCCATTGCCGGGAGCCTCACTTCTACCCGACCCAGTGCCCCATTGTGGATGAGCTTGGCCGGTTTTGCTGGGGCATCACCCTTCGTACAACAACAGCAGACTTTGCCTCAAGCATCCATAGCTGCAGCCCTCTTGTTCCAACAGCAGCAACAACAACAGGCAAGAAACTTTGCGACAGCAGCTGCGGCCGCCCAGTCAATAGCAAACGCTCAAGCATTGTCCCCGATGCAACAAATATACCAAAACTTGTTCGCATTGCAACAGCAGCAACAGAACCAAGGACAATCAAGCCAGTCGTCGCCCTCGCAGCAGCCTGGTGGTCCGAACCAGCCCCAGGACCATCGTTTCCGCCAACCTCCAACGGGCTAGAGGACTGGACTGCATTGTCCAGGACCTCACATACTTACATGTCTACACACATGAACAGCCATCCACCATCCATCCAAAGGAACCGGAACCTGCCCTGATGCCATCATCCTTGGATGAGCATGCTTACTCATTGCATTCGACTCATGATCTGCCGCTCATCGGACGCCAAACGTCCTCGTTGCACGCACCCTCATGGAAAGGCTTCCCTCACGAATCATCCTAAAACTAGCTACCACCGATCAAACAAAGCACATCGATGGAAAAGGACCAAGTAGCTACCAGGGTACGGTACCGTATCAAGGGCTAGGAATCATTCAAGGCAGACAACATGCTTGGTAGCTAAATCTGTAAACAGAAACTTCACAAGTTTAACTCAAACGATGAGAGACTGTAGCTTATGCTTGCCGGTGCCTAAAGGTGTGCCACAATTATTGATGATCCGTTCCATTTTCCAGCAGAATTCAAATTCTTCAAATCAAGGTCACAGACCCAGTTGTTGCTGATGGCTGAATCGCGAGTTGGCAACGTGCGGGACCCCCTGACTCAGAGACCTTCTTCGCGATCTTTCTCAACCGAAGCCACGTCAACTCAACAGCTCCCTCAACCCCCTGTTTGTTGTCAACTCTGGACAGGGCTCAGTGAGCAGGCAAGATGGCAAGATGGCGGGTAATCGTATCTGCCAGCTGCATTGATCGTGGAGGGTGGACACAAGACTGCTAGCTGGCTAGCTGGCTAGCCAGCTAGAAATTCCTTCATGCAACTTCATTCCTCCCACCAGAATTTGTTCTCAGGAGAGCGAGGAGAACGCGAGGAGGAGAATGCTGCTGTTCATACATTCTCTGCTGAGTCCTTTGCTTTCAAATCAAGGAAAGACGAACTTGGACGTCTCAAGCAAAACGTATTGACTCTCAATCAATTTAGCTACTTGCTTTTCTCTCCTGTCTCTTCTTTCCTGAGATCGTAGTCCAGAGGAGACTGATTCACTGCTGGCAGCCTGTTATCAAACACCGCCTACCTCCTACATGCGGTATCCAGTATGGCTGGCATGGCATCAAGTTCTGGAGTGCTTGCCTTGGCTGCACCAGAGAGTACCGGTGCGTCGGTACGGTACCGGTCATGGTACCAGGTAAGTGTATTCGGGCAGGTTGGGTACCTGGTACAGTACCGTACTTAAGTACGGGACAAACCAGAAGCTGTAGTCATAAGGCTCTTTTTGTGCCTGCATGGACAGGTGTCTTTGGTCTTTGAATATCGTCTTCTTGCGCTCCACGCTCCAGTCTCCAGTGATCAAAGAATTAAATCCTTCAGTTCTACGGTAATGGTACCAATGACCAAGATTGTTCCAGTGCCTTCTCACTGTTTACAAAAATGTTTAGTTCTCGTGTACGGTGAAGGCTGTACCCAACTGGTAGCTGGCTAGGTACAGTACGGTAGACTACATACATGTATGTAGCTCGACCTGAAGATTTTTGACAACTGCATGTTTCGGTACTAGTAACCTCAACCACGATGTACATGGTACGGCATCTCTTGCTGCTTCAACACAGGTAGGGGTATGCAACTAACCAGCACTGGCTGCCCCTGCAAAGACCCCACTGCACACCATAAAATCAACCATTTCCAATGGATTTCAACCGACTCGACGATAAACATCATTTTCTTCTTTCACCAGGAACCATGGATTCTGCGCATCCTTCGATTGATCTAACCATCGACTCGTCAGCTCCCTTGACCCTTTCAAGTGCCACGACCAATTCTCAGAACATGCCGGTACTTACACTGGAGAGGAAAAGCACAACGTCGAGCATGCCAGAGAAGATCGAGTTAACCATCGATACTAGCGCTCTAGAGTCGAATGTTGCTCCGGTCATCGGCGTGGCTGATGCTTCTGCTGGGGGCGTTTCGTCCTCTTTGCATACTATGCAAGAGTCAGTTTCAACCGCCACAAAGAAGGTTGCCACTTTGGTCGGTACACTTGATTCTGGTACCAGCGAGCCAGCGCCGACAAGTCAGGTGGCAAGTCGTTTGTCCCGTGGTAAAATCCCGGAGAGCCTTTTGTCCATGCGAAGTTCCGCTCAACGTCGCAATCCGGAGGGGTTGGGCGAAATGGATTCATCCAATGTGTCGCCCAGGGTCCGGTCAAAGTCAAAGAAAACGTTTTCGGTTAAAAAGGTATCCAAGTTTCTGAAGAATACAATGCGAAATTCCACAAACTCAAAAGATTCAGCTCCGTTTGCTTACGGTGATATCATGCCAAAGGATCCGCAAGAAGTGACGTGGGTCCGTACAAAGGTTCTTGTGCAGCCATCAACGGAGGAGCAAGAGGAGAGGAAAGAGGAACAGCAAAAGACACGAAGAAGTGCCTCGAACCGTCGTCATCGACTCTTGAACAACCGTAGAAGTACCAGCAAGGGTCCCAAGACGAGCACAAGCACCAGCCCCGTTCGGCGAACAGTAACCGATGCATCAGGCCAGGGCCCCTCTGTTCGTCGAACACTTACCGAAGGATCGGCTCCAAGATGCGACAATACCATTGTGCATTGACTAGTCTAAGGATCTAAGAGATGTAAAGTTTGTATTTCCAAATAAGTGAGCAGTTATTGATTATTTTCTAGAATAAGCCTGCTAATTGTAAAGCTGTAAAGCTGAATTGTAAGCTGTATCCCGTCGCACTCNGTCGCTCCCCCAGCCGCTCAGGTCGGAGCTTGAGCCGGTCTAATCAGAGTTTAGGTCCGTCGGGGCGCAGTCTTGGTGGATCTCCAACCGTGCGAAGACGAGGCAGGTCAACCAGCCCCAGTCGTCCCCCGGTAACAGGACGACACAGCCGATCCATTAGCAGGACTCGGGGTACTTCCCACAACCCTCTTCCCAGGCAGAGGCCCAGTCAGGGACAACCAAAGAAACCAGGACTCAGAAGAAATCTTTCCTTCAACGACTCTTTCGCCAAGCCAGAAGATGCTTGTGTTGCAATGTTGCAAAAGGAGGCCGACGAATTGCGTGAAACCATCAGGAAGCTGGAGCAGGAGAAGTCTGAGAAGGCCAAGGTGCTGGAGACTACCCAGTCTGGTGCCAATTCTTCCTCAGAAGAGAGCAAGTGCAAGTGTGGCTTCATCTACAAAGAAGGAAATCGTTTCTGCGGAGGGTGTGGCAGGAAGCTGGCTTGGTGCTGCAAGAAGGTAAGAGAATGAAATTGGTTCACACTAGTCGCAGATGATGGCAGCACGCCGCTCACAACTGATTTCTCTTTCCTCAATCTTTTAGTGTAAGCACGAAGAAAACTCGGTGAGCTACAAGTTCTGCGTCGAGTGCGGTGCTGCCAAATGTTCTAGCAGCAGAGATTCAAGAAGCAAAAGGCCAAGAAAAAGAGCAAAAAGGAACGCTCTGGCACTGCGGCTCAGTAAGCTAATCGAATACTGGAAAGCTATGGCTATTGTTTGCTAGCTACTTGGGTGCCCGACAACAATGTCGATTCATCATATATCTGGGGATATTTAGCAAGAAATGAACAAGAAATGAAACAAAAGAAACTATCCATTACCTAGACAATGCACAATAAACCTTACAATCAATGCAGCCTTGAATCGTGCAGTATCCGTCTTCATTCCCTTTCATTGCTTCGGTAGTACCGGTATTGGATGTTCACTATTATTTGTCTCCGGTATCGCTTGGTAGCCCTGCAAATAATGTCGAACAGACCAATAAGCATAGGCCAGAGCAGCTCCAAAAACGATCAGGCCCCAAAAGAGCACCATGTAGACACTTGTGGGACATTGACATTCCACAGCATCTGGTGCGGACGTTTCAGGCTTTTCTGTCGACGGCCCTTCCAAGATGTTGGCAACTTTGCAAAGCGGTTCCTCCTTCTCGTTGGTTGCCTCTGCGATATTTGTGCAGTTGCAAGGGACATCGGGTAGCCCCGTTTGGATTTCCTCCAACAATGCCAATACACCCTCAGCCTCGCAGTTTGTGGCAATGATATCCAAACTGGTTGTGGCATTCCCAGTAAGGATATTCGGAATCACAGCTTCCTCCCAAAGAGGTGGAATAGTGGAAAGAGTATTGTTGTCGCCCAACAGGACCATGCGAACCTGACCCTTGGCCGTCTTGGCAAAATTCGAATAAACGCCCTGCCAAAAAGACCATTGCGCTCCCCCTTGACTCTTCCAATACTCTGCGGGGCATTCTTTGCGTTGATCGGTGCCACAAAAGACCAACCCCTGCAAGAGTGAACCACCAGGCGTGGTTTCAGGAAGCATCCATGCGCTGGAAGCCAAAGCGGCAGTCGTCGGATGTGGAAATACAAACATGGCAGAATCTCTTTCAGTATCAAATGATGTCATTTCCAGGTACATATCAAAGGCAGCCGCATCAATATCCTTGTCCAGATGTGCTTCCAAGGTACCAATGAAGGTATCCACCACGAACGGACAAGAAAGAGTATCGTGGTTGGGTTCTTGGACGGGAGGATTCTCATAGCAACGACCCATTAAGATCTCTTTCAGATAAGGATTCTGACCTTTGCTGGGCGCTTTCGCTGCCGAAAGAACAGCGCCGGAGCCGCAAAGCAGCAAGGCGCGGTACTGGTACCACTTCATGAGCATCCGCAAAAGAAGAAGAGAACACAAACCGAGGAAACGCACTCGATGATGGTTTGTTATTGGCAAAATGAACTGGACTGTCACTCTCCAAGGACAAAAGGCAGAGGACAACGAGCTCAGAAAGAGAGGAATCTTGAGTCGTGCGAGGGAAACACAAAGATCCAAAAGTTTGGTCTCCCAGACCACGCTCCTTTTGGTTTCCCCCTCAGTTGCACTCTGAAATCGATTGGCTCGCTTTTACTGTGTAAATTAGTGTACCCGCACTTCAGTTGCAGAATCAACGGTCATGTGTATCCGTAAGTACCAAACCTGTACTTAACGTGTTTTATCGATTCGTGGATAAAAAGAACCGTTGAAGGTTCTAAGGTTAAGGTTAAACTAATTCAATGGCATGCGCACGTACCGGTACTGGTACCAGTACAGGTCCAGCCAAATCCATCGTTGAAGGTGCAGCACTGACTTCTCTCCCTCATTGAATTGCTATGGCAAACAGAAGAGAAATCCAAGCTCGGCCGACAAGAATGGTGTTGGAACGATCAATCGAATGGATCGCAATGAGGTAAGCCTATTATCAAGAGTGTTTTGTAGATTCGAAAGCCATCCCTCATTCATTTCTATGGACCATGGGCAGGCAGTCAGATCTCGGCCGTCAACAGGTGAGTTGTTTTAATAATTCGAATCGAATCGATCGCACCTCTGTTATCCAAGCCTTTCTCAAGCCGTCCTTCTCTGGTACAGATTCGAAAGCCATCCCTCATTGAATCCTATGGACCGTGGGATGGCAGTCAGTTCTCGGCCCATGACGGCCAAGTTGGTGCAATTTGAAAAACAATGGTAAGTCTCCGGTCGTCTGCAGTTGAGCACAGAAAACAAAACTCATATCTATTTGTTGTTTTCTCTGCTGTACTGCTGACGGCCGATGAACTACCATTGCGTCGAGTCCTTTTCGAACGATCGGTCGCTCCGGAATGCAGGAAGAGGAGAGGCTACCGCTCTGTACGGAGAAGACTGTTAACTCAAGCCCTATCACCAGCCTGCAACCGTCGTCGAGTCATTGAATGGCAACAGTCGTCAAGCGAAGGAGGCTACACGACAACACACAAGAGAGTGGATCCTCCTACCGGATTCACCCCTTCTTGTTATTTCCTACTGTTTTGGTGGTGATTCCTGTGTCGGTACCCATTTTCATGTATGCGCAAGTCAAGTACTGTTGCCACTAGCTATACGGCTATACGGCAGCTGGCTACAATGGCTGGATTGACAATATTCGGTTGTGCGTGTATTCGTCACAAAGATCCAATGCGAGGTAACCGAGTGCAGCGAGCAAAGTCGAACCTGAGTGTGTTCGGTACTGTTGCCACTGTCACCGATCGATGAACTCTACGATAGCTGGCTACGATGGCTGGATTGACAATTATCGGTTGTGTATGTATTCGTC